TCATGGGGGGACCGTCCTATGCATTGTAGGATGTTGAGTAGCATCCCCGGCCCCTCCCTACTAGATGCCAGTAGCACTGCTCCCCCTCAAGTCGTGACAAACAAAAATGTCGCCAGACATTGTCAAATATCCCCTGGGGTAGGGGAGTGGCTCTGGGTTGAGAACTACTTGTTTACATATTTTCTCTAATCTTTACCACAGTCCTCTAAAGCAGACTCTCGGGATTTTTATTTCACAGATGAAGAGACGGAGGCTGAGAAAGAGCCCAGGACAAGGTGGTGACAAAAGCAGGATGCAGGGCCCAAATTCCCCTTCGAGAGCTCTTCCTCCTCCAGCCGGGAAATTCCATTTGGCTCATTGTCTTTGGCCTCAAACTCCCGGGGGAAGGGACGGAACCTGGGAGGCTGAGGAAAACCAGATGCCTAATCGATGCTCCTGCATTTGACAAGGGCGCTGGGGGTGGACGGGCCTGGAGCTGCGCGGCAAACATTTCAGACTCTTTTGCATCCTGAAAATGGCTCTGGGTGTGGAGACAGCCCGGGGAGGAGGCCGTCTGGGACCATATGACGCTTGCCAGTGGCACGAAGGCTGTTAGAGCCATGGTAGCAACATTACTTACCCTCCTCCCTTCTCTCGAACATTGACGAGGCTCCCCCCACTTCACGGGAAGCACACGAAATCTGGCCCCCAGAGAGGTGGGATTGAAAACCTGACAGTTTGGACATACAGCCCGTGGGCAATGTTTCCCTTCTCCGGGGCTTGTGTCTGTGCCAAGAATTCCTAACAAAGGGGGAACAAAATTAATTAATTTAAAAAACCCATAAAAAAGGCTCATGAAACTGACTGGTAAGAAACTGTCCATTTTTCTCCTTGGTGGCGATCAAGATGTCGTGAGTTTCTACACACATATTTTACAGACCTTCCATAAATCTTCTCGTTGTGCTTCTTCCCCCGTAAGTGAGGTCCCCTGGGAAGTCATTGAGTTTCCTCACTCCATGTATTCAAGAGAAAATTGGATGTAACACTTAGAGGAGGCGGCGGTCAGGGAGGGGGCGTCTGAGGAGAGAAGCTAGACTGGGAGTTCAGTGCCAAGGACAGGGACACCCCTTGTCTTGGAAATTCCTGAAATTTCCAAACCGTCTCTCGCTCCGAGCACACAAATAATCTCTTTGTGCTATCTTTTTACTCTATTTCTGTATTTATTTCCGACCGCGAAAGTGATACTCTTTCTGCACAAAATCTGAAAGGATGGAGGAGAGTAGAAAGGAACAAAACAGAAGCAAAAAAAAACCCCACCTTGAAGCCCAAGCTTTCTTGCTTTGTTCTGCAGATTTTCCTGGGCAGTTTGGTGGCACTATGTCTGCAAGGGGGGGGATCCAACCTCAGCATGCGTGACAGTCACCCAGGGAGCTTGTGAAGACTGCAGAATCCCCTGGCTTGCACCCCTGAGAGTGGGAGTTGGCAGGTCGGGGGTGGGTCCCATGAATCTGCGTTTTTAATAGAGCCCTTGGGTGACTCTGATGTGGGCGGTCATTGGACCACACTTGGAGAAATAATGAGTTTCAGGTTTTTCAGACCCTTGGCAAATCAGAGACGTGAAAATCCAGATTTAAAACAAAAATCGGGGAGTAAGGATTTGTTTTCTGGAAGGGCTCAGCTTAAATAGGCATTTCCCTCAGTGCCGTTAACATATGATTCCGTTCACACTCGGTGAATCAGCGACGCAGCCAGGACTTCATCTGCAACTCTCTGGGCCAAGACGGCATACCGCCACCTTTTTACAGAGCAGCGTTGACACCCATCTGCTCAAATAAATTAACGTTTCCATCTCAAATAACTCATTTGGCTGGATCATCAAGGTTACACGCCAACTCAAAGAGAGGGGGGGAGGCAGTGCAGGGGCTGGGGAGGGGGAGGAGAGGTTTTTGCAATGTATAAGTTGCAACATTGTGGCATTTTTATAGCCAAAAAGGGGGGAGAGTGGCTGAACACAGCTACAGTGTAATTCACATGCTCTCCGTTACTATCTCCTTTCATAATTCCTGCCGATGCCTAGGGGGAGGGCAGAGCCAGAGCTAGTTAGCTGGGGGGTGCCTCAATCTGGGGCAGTATTCCCTGTGCAAAGACACTGTGTGGAGTTTGTGTGGGCATGCGCACGCATGTGTGTGCGTGCGTGTGTGTGTGTGTGTGTGTTTGGGCAGACAGTAGCGAGAAGTAGAGATTGTTCTGTAAGATCAAGAAGTTCAAGGGCACAGAGAGTATACAGAGGAAAGGGCAGGCACTTCCTTTTTTTCACTTTTCATTTTCAAATAATTTTAGAGTTAAAGAAAAGGTGAGAAAATATGTGCTTCGCCCAGCTTTCTCTAATGCTCACAGCTTACATAACTATGGTACAAGGACCAAAACCAGGAAAGGAACGTTGGTTCACGATGGTGAACTAAACACAGATCCTATTCCAATTCACTCCTTTTTCCATTAATGTCCTCTTCCTGGAGAACAGCTACTTTCAAGACAGAGAGGTTTGGGTGGGAGGCCCACCTCTGTCACTGTGAAGTTGACCATCCATCCCACCTCTTTGAGCCTTGGTTTTTTTCTCTGTAAGATGGGAGACAACCATTCTACCAACAGGGACCTTGTGATGATTACACGCAAAAATGTGTGTCCAGAGCCTGGCACGCAACTAGGCACTGATGCTGGTTTTCTTTTCCCACCCTCTTTCAAAGCAGCGTGCTCCATCTTCAAGGACAAATGAGCATTTGCTAAATTCCTGTTGGACCAGCTTGACTTAATCTCAGCTGCTGGATCAAGTGGCTCTATTTTGGACAAAAAGAAAAGACAGGAGGCAAGGAGATTAATTAGGGAGCTATTGCAACAACCCATGTTGGAGAAATCTGCGTGGTGGCAGCAGAGGGCTGGGGAGACAAACGGTTTAATAAACATTTCAAATGCAGCCTAAAGAGGAGCTGATGACAGATTGGCTGTGCAGAGTGGAAATGGGAGGAGCCAACAATTAGCAGATTACACTTTTGAGTGACGGGTGATCCCTTTAAACTGAGATGAGCAAGAGGGAACCAGCTCAAGGGAGGAGAGAGAAACAATAATAACCCTGACCAGCACTTGTTGAGTGCCTGCTGCCTGCCCGCCAGGCACTGTGCCTAGCACTTTCCAAGCACGATGTCATTGCATTCACCTAATAACCTGAGAAAACTGTGACACAGAGAAATCAAGTCACTTGCCCGCGTAATTTTTTTGGAAGCACTACCGTCCTTCTGGAAGTACTGAAGTTATGGAGTCCAGGACCGGCTACGTAATTTGCAGGGCTCACTGAAAAGATGAGAATGAGAGCCCCTAGGTCAAAGTTTATTAAGAATTTTAAGGCGGTGACAGCAGAAGAGTAAAACAGGAAAGGCCTTCTGAAAACAGGGCCCTGGGTGACGGCACAGGTCTCAGGCCTATGAAGCTGGCCCTCCTGCCCGAAATCTGGGTGAAGACAGGACCACAGAGGGACGTTGAGAAGAGAAGTGAGTTCAGGAAGAGCACTGAGGACAGCCTGCACTGAGAGCCACACCCATTGCAACTAGCAAAAGAAACTCACAAGGAAGGAGTAACCAACAAGTAAGAGAAGAAATAGGGAGACGCTGTCAGAGCCACCGAGAGGGAACAAGTCACAGGCGAGAGGACGAGGAGCAGGAGGAGGAAGGCGCCCTCCGTTTGCAGACTCGGACATCGCTGTCGGCCTTGGGGGCCCAGTCCCTGGAAGTGGAGGAGGCAGAGGGCAGGCTGCACTATGCAGTGGACTTAATGGACGTGAGGGAGCCGCAGAGATGTCCTGGCGTTCTTGTCTCAAGAAGTTCTTCCACTGCCGGGATCAAGTTTGTGTCACGGCGAAAGTGACTTTTAAAAACCCAGACTGCTTAAACACTGCTTCTCCTTTGGGCCCCACGGGCACTAAGAAAGGCTTTCCTCCTTCTGCCTCCCCTCCTCCCACTCCGCCTCACAAATGGTTGGCTGACGCTATTCTTAAATTGTGGCCGAGCACTGGAGCTGAGGGCGCCTCTGAGGATGCTTGTGCAGTGACCACTAAAATCTGCTTCTGGAGACGCAAATGCTGCCGAGGCTTCAGAGTGGTCAGCGGGGCTTGGATCCGGGAACAGGCCACTTTCCTCTGTTTGGACAGTTGCAACAAGGAGGCACAAATCATCATGGACTGTTTATTTATAGATGTTGGCTGGGCTGTTGGTCTCACTCCGAATAAAGATACTAAGAGGAAAAGAGGCAGCTTCGGGCTCATACGGACCCGCCTCACAAAAGCCAACTTGCCTTTGGTTTCACAGCCTTCTGTTTCCAGTGTTATCCTCGCGAATGTTTTTATTCCTCTTTTCCTTCCTCAGCCGTAGAGTCCCAGAGCCCCCAAAGTGTTAGAAGCCCCCCAAACTATTGGCTTTATACCCAAGTATGCAAACCGCCATCGACATTGACACTGAACACCCAGACTCTCCATGGCTGGTTACTTCTTGAGTCTAATGATCTGTGTCTTCAGGAATTTTTATATTTCTAAAGTCGTAGGAGTGGTCCATTCTACAGCAAAAGCTGAATTAAAAAAAAAATTTTAGAGCAATTTTAGGTTCACAGCAAAACTGAGTGGAAACTACAGAGTCCCCATATACCCTTGCCCCCAACACACAGCCTCCCCTACCATCAGCATCCCCCATCGGAGCGGGACTTGTTACAGCTGATGAAGCGACACCAACACGTCACTATCACCCAAGTCCACTGCGCACATTGGGGTTCACTCTTGACGTTGTACCTTCATTTTTTTTTTTTTAAAGATTGGCCCTGAGCTAACATCTATTGCCAATCTTCCTCTTTTTTTTTTTCTCTTCTCTCCAAAGCCCCCCAGTATGTAGTTGTCTATTCTAGTTGTAGGTCCTTCTGACTGTGCTATGTGGGACGCCACCTCAGCATGGCTTGATGAGCAGTGTTAGGCCCACGCCCAGGATCCGAACCTGTGAAACCCTGGGCTGCCAAAGCGGAGTGCATGAACTGAACCACTCGGCCACGGGGCCGGCCCCCAGGTGTTATACATCCTATGGGCTTTGACGAATGTATAATGGCATGTATTCACCATTATAGTATCCAACAGGATAGTTTCACTGCCCTAAAAATCCTCGGTGCTCGGCCGATCCCTTCCCATCCTCCTAGCCCCTGGCAACCACTGATTTTTTTCTGTCTCCATAGTTTTGCCTTTTCCAGAATGTCATATAGTTGGAATCATACAGTATGTAGCATTTTCAGAGAAAAGCTTAATTTTTAGTAAACTTTCTATCTAAAAAAAGAAAAAAATGCATGCTTGATGTAGAAACATCCAAGTGCACCAAAGTATATGCGGTTTCCAGTGTGAACGAGTCTGGACAGCGACGCTAGGCTGCAGTAACAAAAAAGCCCTGAAATCTCAGTCGCTCGTAACACATTCATTTCTCACGGACCACGGGGACTCCGCCCACCCCAGCACACGGGCTGCAGAGTCCCTGCAGCCAGGGAAGAGCAAGAGAGTAGAAAACTCTCCTGCTTTTAAATACCTCTGCCCAGAAGGGGCACAGAGACACATGCATCCTATGGCCGGACTAGTCGCTCAGCCCTAATCCAACCATGTGGAGACGAGGAAATGGAAGTGAGCATGACCTGCTCTGCCACAAACTGAAAGTTATCTCTGTGCCCGTCCCACTCTGCAGAGGTGACGGACTCCTGTTAACAGCCGGGCCAGTGTCCTTCTAGGCTGTCCTCTAATATATGCATATTTATGTGCAGTACTCATACCTACTCTATTATACATTCACATGTCAGACATAAAACTTCTTTCACAAAAACGGGCCCATGATCTGCATGCAGTCTCGCAGTACGCTTTTTCACGTGACAGTTTATCTTGGACATCCATTCCAGTAGGGATGAGCTCAAACGTGATTTAACAACAAAACAGTGATATTAAATTACATTCTCTTTGGTGCTCTGAGCTCCTGGGTCACAGGGATGGCATTGCATTGCTGGCACCATTAATTGGGACTCTCCTGTTTACTAGGTGTTAAGCGACTCACCCCTCTTCCACCAACCCCGTGAGGTCAATGTCTTTATTATCTGGCTCCAGTATTCAGATGATGTACCTGTCGCTCAGAGAGGTGAAGAGACATACCGTCTAAGGTCACACAGCTGGGAAGTGGCAGGAGGAGATCTGGGGGACTCCAAAATTTGGGTTTTCTCCTTCTTCTTGCCTATGGTGCATTTTCAAAGCCTCAGTGTCTAGCCCAGGCTTGGTCCATCGTGGGCGCTAAGTAGTTTATTGAATACACAGCTGAGAGGTGCCCGAAGACGGAATGGAACCCCCAAAACTCTATGGGAATGGCTGGAGGCGTCTACAACACTTGCTGCCAATGCCGGTCATTAGACTCTTAACTGCAACTGGTACTTGTATTCGGCTTCTGATGATGCTGCAAGTTCCCGAGGACCTAAACCGGGTGTCTCCTCCTGAGCACATCCCACTCCCAACACACAAAAACTAGCAGAGTGTCGGAGGCACAGCAGGCATGCAATATCAGCTCTCCAAGTCAGGCCTTCCCACGTCTCCTGTCTAGATGATGCCAGCAGCCTCCCAACTGGTCCCCCTGATCCCCTTTGCTCCCCATAGGCTGTTCTCCACGCAGCAGCCAGAGGGACCCTTTGGAAGGTAGGTGAGAGCATCTCACTGTCCCGCTGGGAATCACCAGGCTCCATCTCACTTCCGCTGAAATGCCCAATTCTACCTGGTGCTGTGCCCTGAGTCCACCTCCCCTGGCCTCTGCACCTGTCCCCTTGCCCACAGGCATCCTTCACTGCCCCAGGTCTCTGCTCAAAGGTCCCTTCCAGAGGCCTTCCCTGACCCTACCTCTGTCTTCTCTGGCCCAGGGATCCTCAGCCTTGCACCAACTCCTTGTGATGGGAGCTCTCCTCTGCAGGGGAGGAGGTTGAGCGGCATCCCTGGCCCCTCCCTACCAGATGACAGTGGCACCCCCCACACCCAACAGCCACAACCAGAAATGTCTCCAGACATCCCCAAAGGTCCCCTGGGGGCAAAAGCACCCCCCCATTGAGAACTTGTGCCCTAAGCGATTAGCATGTTCAGAGTGAGCTCTCAAGAAAGGTCCCTCAAATCTTTTCCAAGAGGCTAGTATAACCTCTAAAGAGGCATTTCTCTGTGCCTTTCTGGAAGCACCCAGACCACCGACCATGGCAGCCCTAGGAGAGACCACAGCCTGGTCTTCTGTTACACAGACTAGACTTTCTGAGCAGAGATCTGTGAGACTGACTTTCGGGGATGGAGGGGAAGCCCAGGTACTCTCCGTGCTTCCTAACTGGCCGTGGAAGGGGAGGTGGAGACGGGAAGCGGCGGTCGGTTTCACTGCAGCGTCTGGGATTCCTGCCCCGAGTTCTTCCTCAGAAACCGGCGGCGGCTGCGGACAGGGGCGGCTGGGCTGAGGGGCGGGAAGCCGCTGGCCAGCTTCACCCTCTCTCTGGGGCTCCTGCAGGGCAAGGGGAGAGGATGTGAAGTTGTCCCTGTAGATATAATTAACAGCATTGTGGACAAGACCACAAGTTCAGAAGGAGCTTACAAAGGAGAAATTCATGCTGCAAATGGTGACACTTAAGCCAAAAGCAATAAAATGCATTCATCTGGGACACTGTCGCCCTGGGGTTTATGGCTTCCACAGGACAATCCAGGCCTGGGCTTCAGACCTCGTCATTCTGCCACACTGTGACCCCGAGGCAGGGCGCGCCATAAACAGACCGGGAGGCTGCTCTGCGTGCCCTTGCTGCGGGCTGGCTGCTCTGGGAAGAACACGCAGCCCTCAACAAGGAAATGCAATAACTATTCTGCTTCTTGGAATGATTTGCAGATTCATGCATTCAAACATTCTTCAGATGCTGACTGGTGGTATATGTCACCACATTCCCGGTGGGATGCAACCTGGTGGTGGAAAACAGACAGCTCACTTAAACGCCAGTTCGGCCACTTACTCACTGTGTGACCTTGGGAAACTTACTTAACTTCTCTGAGCCGAAGTTTACTCACAGGTAAACCAGAGGTAAAAATACGTACCCCTGGGGCAGTGATGATTAAATGAGAGAATACATGTGAAGTGCTTAGCAGGGTAGCATCAGATGGGAAGTAGATACTGGCATTATTATTATTCTACATCCAGAAAAATGTAAATAGCTCTATAATCCTTGGACACAGCGTGCAAAGGGACAGTGGTGGACAATAAGGCTGGTTGGTGGCTAGAGCAGCATCATTTCTGGCTAAGAGTATGTAGAAGTGTAACATTTTAGAGCACAAAGGAGTATTGGTGATTATTCTATTCAATGCTCACTTGACAAGCAAGGAAACAACTCTGAAGTGGGCGGATATGGGGTGAAGTGACTTGTCCAAGGTCACAGGGAAAGTGAAGGGCAGGCCTGGGCGGCAGCTCCTGCTTCCTGACTCCCGGAGGCGCTTTTCCGTGGCCTTATCTACCACTGATGGGTGGAGGGAAGGGAGGGACCTCCTCCCTCCACGTAAACCAAGTGCGCGGTCACAGAGAGATGTCCCAAAGGTGTGGCTGGTGGAAAACTCAAGTTGACGTATAGCATTTTTAAGGAATGTTTCCATAGAGATGCATAGCAATCCCTTATGCAGACAGAAAACAATGATTCATTCAAACAGGACATGGGGAGCGAGTAGGGGTGGTGGCCTCCTCCCTTGGAGGGATGGACACCAAGGCCAGGCGGGGCTCCCAGAGACTGGGGTTTAAAAGCCCACGTTCCAGAAGGGGCCTGAAATCTTCTGACAGTCATGTCCGTGGATACCACCCAGCCAGTGCGTAGTCACTGAACACACACTGGGGCCTTCTGGCGCGGCCCTGGCTAAGGTGCTGACAGCATGACAGTCCCTCTCTTGAACAGCATTTCTGCCTGTATCAGTTTCCTCTCGCTGCTGTAAGGACCACAAACCTAGTGGCTTAAAATAACACAAGTTTATTATCTTACGTTCTGGAGGTCAGAAGTCTCAAACCAAGGTGTCAGCAGGACTGGTTCCTTCTGGAAGCTTCGGTGGGGGTATGGGAGAGTATTGGTTTCCTTGTCTTTTTTTTTTCTTGAGGAAGATTAGCCCTGAGCTAACATCTGCTGCACAGCATGGCTTGCCAAGCAGTGCCATGTCCGCACCTGGGATCCGAACAGGAGAACCCCGGGCTGCCGAAGTGGAATGTGTACACTTAACCGTTGCGCCACCAGGCCGGCCCCTCCTTGCCTTTTTTGACTTCTGGCGGCCGTCTGCATTCCTTGGCCTGTGCCACCTTCCTTGTGTCCCTCCGACCTCTTGTTTCCATCAGCACATCTCTTACGATGCCCACAGCACAGGCGCAGGCAGTCCTGGTCCTTAACTTCTCTGAGCCCCTATTTCCTCATCAGAAAGATGGAGAGGGGGTGACAGGGAGAGGTCAGATGAAATATATGTAAATTCCGAGCATTGCGCCCGGCACACAGGAAGGACTCGAGAAAGGCTGCAGCTTTTAGAAAAGCAGTGATTACTGTTACCGCCATCGCCATCATCTGACACCCTCCTTTCCATAACAGAGCTTGGGAGACACGAATAGAGAACAGCGACGTCTGCCTGGGGTGTCAGGAGAGACTCTGCAGAAGAGCCTGACCCCTGATCAGATGCCTGTGAAGGAACCTGACCAACAGACAAGGGGAGAAGGGCCGTTCTGGACTGAGGCATCTGCACAGCGAAAGGTCTGGGTGTCAGAAAGCATAAGGGGCGTTTGTAGCATGGCGAGTGCTCAAGTGGCCAGAGCAGTGGCTCAGGGGTCATTGCCAGCAGGTAGGACGGATGGGGATGGGCTGAAAAGTCTTTGGAGTCAGAGGGCTGGGTTCAGGTCTCGCGGCTCCACCAAAGAGCTCAGCCCCTGGGGTGCCTTCTTGATCCTCTCCGCTTCCTCCTTCATAAGGAGTGGGTGGTCAGAGCCCCTCCCTCCCAGGGTGCAGCAGTCAAAGGCCGTTACGACTTGGGAGAGGCTGAAGAGGCCACTTGGAAGGGGCTCCACATCCCTGGCAAAGGACTTTGGATGCCGAAGAACCACTTTCTCCTCTCTTCCATCCTTTCCTCGCTCGACGCGCCCTGTTCTTTTCCCGCGGCCAACAGGAAGTCTGAGCGCTGACCTTCCTAATCTTATGTTCTGTCACCATCCTCCTGCACTTAAAAATAATAGATTTTTTTCACAGGTGGAAAAGATGTTACGAGACCTTTGCTCGTCTATAAAACGTGGGTAATGATAGCATCGACCTCATGTGCTCTGAGGAGTCACGGAGAGAAAGGGCAGAAGGTGTTTGCTATCATGTTGTGGGAGGTTAACAGCTTACGCTCCGGAGTCGGCCGGACGGAGCCCGAATTCTGGCTGTGTCAGTTACCAGCTCTGTGATTATGGACAAAAGACTTCACCTCTCTCAGCCGCAATTCCTCATCTACCAAATGAGGATGATAATGCCAACCGCAGACGTTCTTTGGGGGAGGTACTAAGAGAATGTCTAGGATGTGCTCATTAACTACTATTATTATAATTATTATATTATTATTAGTTATTATGCCCTTTCTACTTACATATGGGGAAGTTAGGCTCAGAGATGGGAGTGCCTTACCCAAGGTCACACAGCAGGTCGGTGGCGATCTAGCACACAGGCTTCTTCCTGCAGGATCAGAGGTCCAGGCGAATTCCTGGCATGAGCTCCAGGGACTGGAACCTGAGGCGGGGCAAACACTTCCCCTTCGTAAGCTGTTTTCCTGTGTGAAGGGCAAGGTGGCACCCCCCCACCGCCGCCTACGAATCCGCCTCGGTGGCCGCCACCTCCCAGGACTGCCCAGCTCTGCCTGCTGAGGAATCAGATGGCACCAGCAGACGGTCTCGCCATGCGACTGGAGCCTGCTTCGCTCCCATCATTTATTTTGGACAGGACACAAGATGGGATATCAAAGGAATCAGCTGCTGGTCAGAGGAAACGGCTAAGGGGCCAGAACTCCTCCTGGGGCTTCCAGGAGCAGAGGAAACAGCCCACGTGGATGGGAACTTGGCTCCCCCATTAATCCAACTTTATTAATTGAGACTTCATTCAAAGAGATACGAGGCAAACTAGTTTCTTGGTATAAAGCTTTTTACTAAAAAAAAAAAACTTGGTTACATATACTTTTTTTTAACTGAAGGTATTTATAGAATTAAAGTTAAGATTGGACAGTTTCGGGCAACAGTTGAGGCCACTGAAAGGAAAAGATAAGGACTCCTGGCTCCCCACATTCGAATGAGCCCACGGATGACCGTAAACGCATCTACTCAGGGTTTTACTTTTCCATGACGCTCTGGTGAATAATTGAGCTTTTCAGACCTCTCTGGAGCAGATGCTGGTGTGAATAAAGGCTGCCTTCGCTCAAGACAACATAAACACCCCCCAATGCCCAGCCGACGGGCCCGCAAGATGTCAGCCATTCTTCAGGCCAACAGACACTATTGCAATTAGGACATGATTGTCCCCAATCTGCTTTGACAGCAAGAAAGCTTGAAGAGGAGGTTCCAGGGAGGGTGGCTCTTAGGCTCCACAGACGTGAGCGTTAGCCAGCTTCCATCCTGGGTGTGAGCGGCCAGGTCCCGACACTGACACTTTCCTTGGCAGGGAGGGCACAGTGGAAAGAACGACAACCTCAGTCAGGCTCAGGGGACCTAAGGTCAGGTCTCAGCTGCAGGCCCAAGTCCACCCTCAGTTTCCCCCTCTGTAAAATGGGCATCTCCAGGAGCCTGCTCTCCAAATTTGGGTTTGATTTGGTTTTTATTAGACTCTAATTTTTAGAGCAGTTTGCGTTCACAGCAATATTGAACAGAAAGCACACAGAGTTCCCATTGACCCCCTGCCCCCAAACATGCAGCCTCCCCATCCCCCACCGGAGTGGTACCTTTGTTGTAGTTGCTGAACCTGCACTGATGCGTCATTGTCACCCAAAGTCCATAGTTTACCTCAGGGCTCACTCTTGGTGGTGTACATTCTACAGGTTTGGACAAATGTATAATGACATGTATCCATCATCATAGTATCACACAGAATAGTTTCACTGCCTGAAAAATCCTCTGTGCTCCACCTATGCACCCCGCAGCCCAGCCCCTGGCAACCCCTGATCTTTTCACTGTCTCCATAGTGTTGCCTTTTCCAGAATGTCATAGAGGTGGAACCTACCAGAATGTAGTTTCAGATCGGTTTCTTTCACTTAGCAATAGGCATTGAAATTTCCTCCATGCCTTTTCATGGCTTGATCGCTCAGTTCTTTTTAGCACTGGATAATATCCCATTGTCCGGATGTCCACAGTTTATTTATCCATTCTCCTACTGAAGGACATCTTGCTTGCTTCCAGTTTTGGCCATTATGAAGAAAGCTGCTGTAAACAGCTGTGTGCAGGTTTTTGTGTAGAGATAAGTTTTTAACTCTCCAAGTTTTAAAACCAAA